CCTAACAGTTTCAGACTAGCAAGAATGTCCACTAACAGTTTCAGACTAGCAAGAATGTCCACTAACAGTTTCAGACTAGCAAGAATGTCCACCTAACAGTTTCAGACTAGCTAGAATGTCCACCTAACAGTTTCAGACTAGCAAGAATGTCCACCTAACAGTTTCAGACAAGCAAGAATGTCCACCTAACAGTTTCAGACTAGCAAGAATGTCCACCTAACAGTTTCAGACTAGCAAGAATGTCCACCTAACAGTTTCAGACTAGCAAGAATGTCCACCTAACAGTTTCAGACTAGCAAGAATGTCCACCTAACAGTTTCAGACTAGCAAGAATGTCCACCTAACAGTTTTAAACTAGCAAGAATGTCCACTAACAGTTTCAGACTAGCAAGAATGTCCACCTAACAGTTTCAGACTAGCAAGAATGTCCACCTAACAGTTTCAGACTAGCAAGAATGTCCACCTAACAGTTTCAGACTAGCAAGAATGTCCACCTAACAGTTTCAGACTAGCAAGAATGTCCACCTAACAGTTTCAGACTAGCAAGAATGTCCACCTAACAGTTTCAGACTAGCAAGAATGTCCACCTAACAGTTTCAAACTAGCAAGAATGTCCACTAACAGTTTCAGACTAGCAAGAATGTCCACCTAACAGTTTCAGACTAGCAAGAATGTCCACTAACAGTTTCAGACTAGCAAGAATGTCCACTAACAGTTTCAGACTAGCAAGAATGCCCACTAACAGTTTCAGACTAGCAAGAATGTCCACTAACAGTTTCAGACTAGCAAGAATGTCCACTAACAGTTTCAGACTAGCAAGAATGTTCACTAACAGTTTCAGACTAGCTAGAATGTCCACTAACAGTTTCAGACTAGCAAGAATGTCCACCTAACAGTTTCAGACTAGCAAGAATGTCCACTAACAGTTTCAGACTAGCAAGAATGTCCACTAACAGTTTCAGACTAGCAAGAATGTCCACCTAACAGTTTCAGACTAGCTAAGAATGTCCACCTAACAGTTTCAGACTAGCAAGAATGTCCACCTAACAGTTTCAGACAAGCAAGAATGTCCACCTAACAGTTTCAGACTAGCAAGAATGTCCACCTAACAGTTTCAGACTAGCAAGCAAGAATGTCCACCTAACAGTTTCAGACTAGCAAGAATGTCCACCTAACAGTTTCAGACTAGCAAGAATGTCCACCTAACAGTTTCAGACTAGCAAGAATGTCCACCTAACAGTTTTAAACTAGCAAGAATGTCCACTAACAGTTTCAGACTAGCAAGAATGTCCACCTAACAGTTTCAGACTAGCAAGAATGTCCACCTAACAGTTTCAGACTAGCAAGAATGTCCACCTAACAGTTTCAGACTAGCAAGAATGTCCACCTAACAGTTTCAGACTAGCAAGAATGTCCACCTAACAGTTTCAGACTAGCAAGAATGTCCACCTAACAGTTTCAGACTAGCAAGAATGTCCACCTAACAGTTTCAAACTAGCAAGAATGTCCACTAACAGTTTCAGACTAGCAAGAATGTCCACCTAACAGTTTCAGACTAGCAAGAATGTCCACTAACAGTTTCAGACTAGCAAGAATGTCCACTAACAGTTTCAGACTAGCAAGAATGCCCACTAACAGTTTCAGACTAGCAAGAATGTCCACCTAACAGTTTCAGACTAGCAAGAATGTCCACCTAACAGTTTCAGACTAGCAAGATTGTCCTCGTAGCAGTTAGATGAAGTGCCTCGTCTACCTCTCTAGTGTTTGCTATAGACAGGGAATCCACAAGAGCCTATTTCTGGGAGAGAATAAAGACATACTCACTGTCTGCTCCGTTTTTCTGCCGACTCCCTTGGTGTTGCTAGTCGAACCACAACCCTTGCTGAATATCATGAAAACACTGAACATAACTAATAAACTGAACATAATTGAAAGTAATAACAAAAGAAAAGTAATGTAATATTTTGTACATGACGTAACTTAACGCGTTCAGTGATCATTTAATTAAAACGGCCAATTACTTTAGGCGGTAATTATTTCTCATTGGAAGGGAGATAATTACTGTACTAGAATGAGCTCATCTGGGGCCACTGACGTTGCAACAGTTTGTGAGAGCTAGATGATTACAAGAGCAATCGAGAACATTAAATATTTCTAACATTTTTGCTTTGGAAGGTATCAAATGTAAACACAATTTACAGCCATAACTACACCTGAAATGCAAAGTTCACAAGGGCAGTAGGTGTTGCAACTGACTGACTGACTGACTTTCTACCCCACCAGGAGATCACACAAGCGATAAGCCTATATTGCGGCCCCTGGCAAAAGCCAGAGTCGGGCTTCAAATAACAAAAAATTACGTCCTAAAAAGGACGTAAGTAAAATTACACAAGTGTTGCAACGGTTACAGAGGCCTTAAATAAGCTTCTTTTTAGGTTGAATGGGCACTTCATATCTTGAAAATCAAAGCAGCCAACCATCCGAGCAATGTTCATCAACGGATATAACAATGATGCCCTGTGATAGAAACGATGCTAAGCAAAGAGAACAGCTCTAGCCCTGTGAGAGAGGGGATGCCGGGGAAGGGGAGGGGGGGGGGGTGTCAACTCCGCAATATTGCGGATAGGCTTGCTTAATGTTTTTAGTAATGGTAAGTTTGTGCCTCTGACAATAGGTAGCTGTTGCATTATCCTCTACATACAGACTCAAATGATACAGTTCCGTCGCCCAGCTGTCGAGTTGTGTATGGGGCAACACTGTGAGCTATGCAGTTCGTTTAGAATGCTTATTTGACTGTGCTCAACATGATTTGTGTTGCGGATTGCAGACTCAGAAAATGGCGAGTGGCCTGTTGCTAGAGAATGGCCTGTTGCTAGAGAATGGCCTGTTGCTAGAGAATGGCCTGTTGCTAGAGAATGGCCTGTTGCTAGAGAATGGCAGTGCTTTGAGTGATTAATTTGGTGTGTAGCCAATGATCTGTTGGTGATGCTGCTCCCCATACTCCCCTTAACTATGAACCGTATTTCTAGTGCCGGGCTGTTTGTGTTGGCACTTCTGACGTCGGCCTTTAATCAGTGTGCATGCTGCTCGCTTTCATAATACTTCAGTCTACGCTACTATCGCTTTCCTTCTCAAGGGACAGCGATGAGCATTCTGTATGGCACGGAACAACAATAAGGTGACGTTGTTTGCTGGAGCTGCGATTACTCGAGTTCATAATAAGGTCTTATATGCAGAATTTAAGTTGAGAGATTAGTTCTGTCTTTGTGCTTGCCGTACAGTTCCAGCGGTTCGATAATAAAAGTGATTTGCATCAAAGATAGAGATATTCTTTCTATAATATCAGTATCTCTGTCCAGGTAGGTATACATTTGGGGATTACTGGGGTTTGGGGGTAGCTCCAGACATGAACCTGTCACTAAGGGTGGTGTTGTTGGCAGGGGGAATGTCACTGACCCGTAGCTCCAGACATGAACCTGTCACTAAGGATGGTGTTGACCGGGGGAATGTCACGGACATGTAGCTCCAGACATGAACCTGTCACTAAGGGTGGTGTTTGCCGGGAGAATGTCACGGACATTTAGCTCCAGACATGAACCTGTCACTAAGGGTGGTGTTTGCCGGGAGAATGTCACGGACATTTAGCTCCAGACATGAACCTGTCACTAAGGGTGGTGTTGGCCGGGGGAATGTCACCGATATGTAGCTCCAGACATGAACCTGTCACTAAGGGTGGTGGTGTTGGCCGGAGAAATGTCACGGACATGTTGCTCCAGACATGAACCTGTCACTAAGGGCATCAACACAGAACGGGCGTTATCAGTCATTTTACAGTGATTAGGCTACAGAGGAGGAGATGGGAACATCCGGGAATGTGTTTAAGATGCTATGATGATAGTTCTCAGTAATCTTCTTCTTTCTTTTTGTTTTGTTTTTGGTCGTCTCGCTGATATCAGGTTGTAGCCTAGTGTCCTGGTTTTATGTATTTTCTTTGCGCTTCTCGGGTGGCTTGGTCATGGTTTGTTCAACGTTTTGCATGTTCCAGTTACACCATTTATCCGTATTTTCTTGGTCTTTCCCTCGCTCATGACTTTCTGAAATATCGGGTGCTTAACTTCGTTGATATTTTTAGATGTGACTGAAAGCAGTCACTCTACTTGATTGGAGAAATTGACAGCATTCGCACTACTTGATCGAAGGTAACTGGAAGCAGTCATGCTACCTGATCGACGGTAAATCATTCACACAGCTTGATTTTGACCGAAGATAACTGAAGGTAATTCACTCAGCTTGATTTTGATCGAAGATAACTGAAATCATTCACTCAGCTTAATCTTGATCGAAGGTAACTGAAGTTAATTCACTCAGCTTAATCTTGATCGAAGGTAACTGAAGTTAATTCACTCAGCTTGATTTTGATCGAAGGTAACTGAAGTTAATTCACTCAGCTTGATTTTGATCGAAGGTAACTGAAGGTAATTCACTCAGCTTGATCTTGATCGAAGGTAACTGAAGTTAATTCACTCAGCTTGATTTTGATCGAAGGTAACTGAAGGTAATTCACTCAGCTTGATTTTGATCGAAGGTAACTGAAGTTAATTCACTCAGCTTGATTTTGATCGAAGGTAACTGAAGTTAATTCACTCAGCTTGATTTTGATCGAAGGTAACTGAAGGTAATTCACTCAGCTTGATTTTGATCGAAGGTAACTGAAGTTAATTCACTCAGCTTGATTTTGATCGAAGGTAACTGAAGTTAATTCACTCAGCTTGATTTTGATCGAAGGTAACTGAAGTTAATTCACTCAGCTTGATTTTGATCGAAGGTAACTGAAGTTAATTCACTCAGCTTGATTTTGATCGAAGGTAACTGAAGGTAATTCACTCAGCTTGATCTTGATCGAAGGTAACTGAAGGTAATTCACTCAGCTTGATTTTGATCGAAGGTAACTGAAGGTAATTCACTCAGCTTAATCTTGATCGAAGGTAACTGAAGTTAATTCACTCAGCTTGATCTTGATCGAAGGTAACTTTCACTAAAGTCTTCAAAGGGACGCTAGTCGTGTGTTCTCTGTCAATTTCCGGTGTCTTTTTGAACACCTGAGGAATGATACGAGTGAAGTTCTTGTTCATCCCGCAGTAGATGAGGGGGTCGATGACATGCGACGTCTTGGCAGCCAAGGCTGGAAACACTGATAATGAGGGCGATAAGTGAATGTTGCTGGAGTAGGATTTGATCATAGCCACCACGGCATAGGGCGTCCAGCAGATCATGAAGCTGGCACACATGATGAAGGTCACCTGGTAAACAGTCAAAAAACACATCTTTGGAAAATTACAACAGGCAGACTCCAATCTAAATACGCAAACATCGTTCTTCTTCGCGTTCATCGGCTGTACAACTCCGGCGGCAGAAAGATCTGCTTGTTCGCCCACTTCTGGACTTTTGCTTTTGTTCCAGAATCAGAGTTTTGAATGCTCACCAGTTTCAAATATCTGACCTATTTGCATATAGACTGTGGATTCCTTGCCTCTCAGGTAGACGTCACAGACTACATACATTCAGTAAACAGGGAATAAGTAACTGGTCAGTGATCTAGTGAGAGAGCAGAAAGTCTGAGCAACATTCAATAAATAGGGGAGGAGTAGTTGACCAGTGATTTAGTGAGAGAGCAGAAAGTCTGAGCAACATTCAATAAACATGGAATAAGTAACTGGTCAGTGATTTAGTGAGAGAGCAAAACGTCTGAGCAACATTCAATAAACATGGAATAAGTAACTGGTCAGTGATTTAGTGAGAGAGCAGAAAGTCTGAGCAACATTCAATAAACATGGAATAAGTAACTGGTCAGTGATTTAGTGAGAGAGCAGAAAGTCTGAGCAACATTCAATAAATAGCGGAGGAGTAATTGACCAGTGATCTAGTGAGAGAGCAGAAAGTCTGAGCAACATTCAATAAACATGGAATAAGTAACTGGTCAGTGATTTAGTGAGAGAGCAGAAAGTCTGAGCAACAGTCAATAAACAGGGAATAAGTAACTGGTCAGTGATTTAGCCAGTGTGTGCAGATGATCTAGGCAACATTCATAGACAGGGAAAAATATGGATGGAGTTTGAAACAAGTTTCCACTGCCACAGCAGCATGGGGACTTTACTTTAGATACTGCAGCATGGGGACTTTACTTTAGATACTGCAGCATGGGGACTTTACTTTAGATACTGCAGCATGGGGACTTTACTTTAGATACTGCAGCATGGGGACTTTACTTTAGATACTGCAGCATGGGGACTTTACTTTAGATACTGCAGCATGGGGACTTTACTTTAGATACTGCAGCATGGGGACTTTACTTTAGATACTGCAGCATGGGGACTTTACTTTAGATACTGCAGCATGGGGACTTTACTTTAGATACTGCAGCATGGGGACTTTACTTTAGATACTGCAGCATGGGGACTTTACTTTAGATACTGCAGCATGGGGACTTTACTTTAGATACTGCAGCATGGGGACTTTACTTTAGATACTGCAGCATGGGGACTTTACTTTAGATACTGCAGCATGGGGACTTTACTTTAGATACTGCAGCATGGGGACAGAGCACCTGTTGAAATGACGCAAATACGGTGATGTTAATTCTTTGTTAATTCATTAAATTAATTTTATTATTTCCATAGTTTTGGAAGTTATTCAATATTTCTTTGGAGAAGAAGAAAGAGAGAGAGTGAGAGAGAGAGAGAGAGAGAGAGAGAGAGAGAGAGAGAGAGAGAGAGATACAGTTAGAGAGCGAGAGGGAGAGAGAGAGAGAGAGACATAGAGAGCGAGAGGGAGAGAGAGAGAGAGAGACACATAGAGAGCGAGAGGGAGAGAGAGAGAGACACACACAGAGAGAGCGAGAGGGAGAGAGAGAGAGAGACACATAGAGAGCGAGAGGGAGAGAGAGAGAGAGAGACACATAGAGAGCGAGAGGGAGAGAGAGAGAGACACATAGAGAGCGAGAGGGAGAGAGAGAGAGAGAGAGAGAGACACATAGAGAGCGAGAGGGAGAGAGAGAGAGAGAGAGAGACACATAGAGAGCGAGAGGGAGAGAGAGAGAGAGAGACATAGAGAGCGAGAGGGAGAGAGAGAGAGAGAGACACATAGAGAGCGAGAGGGAGAGAGAGAGAGACACACACAGAGAGAGCGAGAGGGAGAGAGAGAGAGAGACACATAGAGAGCGAGAGGGAGAGAGAGAGAGAGACACATAGAGAGCGAGAGGGAGAGAGAGAGACACATAGAGAGCGAGAGGGAGAGAGAGAGAGAGAGAGAGACACATAGAGAGCGAGAGGGAGAGAGAGAGAGAGAGAGAGACACATAGAGAGCGAGAGGGAGAGAGAGAGAGAGACACATAGAGAGCGAGAGAATCTTCTTCTTCTTCTTCGCGTTCACTGGCTGTAAACTCCTGCGGAAAGTTCTGGCTGTTCGTCCCTTTCTGGACTGCAGTCCTGTTCTAGAACCTGTGTTGCGTGTGCATCCGTTTGACAGATCTGACTAATATGTATGCAGACTGTTGGTTCCTTGCCTCTCGCTGACTTCGAAGGAAGCTGCCATTTAGTTGACTCTTACGACATGCTTTTTGGTAGCAATAGGTATATTCTTGTTTTCCCTATTGTAGGACCCCGGAACCCACACGGGATGAGAGAGAATATGAAGCATACCTTGAGAAGCCTGATCTCCTTCTGTTCCCAAATTCTCATCTCGTTACTTCTGGGCGCCCACTGCAACCGCTTGTGCCTCGTTCTGACGGTCATAAACAGGATCCGGAAGTAGCTGTAACACATGACGCCTGTTGGGATGGCTAGACAGCCAATAAAAGCCGCCGTTACAAACGACTTGTCCGGCTGGTCCCAGCTGCCAGGAAAGCAATCAATACCAACGTTGCATTAATTGAATACCACTGTAGAGTGTGAATAATTATAGCAACAACACTTCATATGCACACACACACACACACACACACACACACACACACACACACACACTCACACACACACACATATATATACACACACACACAAACACACACACTCGCACACACTCACACACACACCATCATCATCATCATCAGGTGCCTTGTCGACTGGCGTGGGCAATCATGCCTCTCCATAATCTGCGATCTCCTGCAGCATGTACCAGTTCGTGTGCCGACACACTTCCATGCCATGCAACAAGACTGTCAAGCATCTTCTCTCGTTGTCTTCCTCTATCCCCTTTTCCACAGATCTTTCCAGTGGTCACAACATGTTCTATTTTCCCTCTTCTCATAACATGGCCGAAAAATGATGACTATCTCCTTCTGATGTCTGTGATAAGTTGTCTTCGTGCTCCCGCCTCTTTCAAAACCTCTTGGTTGCTCTTTTTGGCTGTCCAAGGCATTGTAAGCATTCTTCTGTAAAACCACATCTCTGAGGCCTCTAAAAATTGTTTAGCCTGCCTTCCGATTGTCCAGGATTCACAGCCATATGTTAAAACTGGATGTATTTAGCAAGCAAGAATTCTTTTTCTAACTCTCAATGACAAAGATATATTGCACAAGATGTTTTTCATTATATAAAATGCAGTTTTTGCCTGTCCAATTCTGTTTCTTATTTCAGTTATGCATCTTCCATCTGATGTTATCCATGTGCCCAGATACTTAAATTTCTGTACTTGTCCTAAAATAACACCATTGACTTTTATTACACATTTAGGAATAATTTGTTTCTTTGATACCACCATTACTTCTGTCTTCCCATTATTCAAACTTGATGTTATGTTCACACACACACACATAAATATAAATACACACACAAATACACACACACACACACACACACACACACACACACACACACACACACACACACACATAAGCAATCTAAATTATTCTTCTAGATTTTTGCAACTGTATTTCTTAGTTGTCTAAGAACTCGGGTAGATAGCGTTTTTTTTTCAGGCACGTTGGGAAACGAACAATCTGATAGACTGCCTGATTGTGTACCTCTTGGTGGTAAATTCATGCAGGACAAACGAGATTTGTCTGAACAAGGGTGCGAGTGAACACTACGGCGGCACAAACAGATCATCACGGTCTGAGGAGAATGGTGCAGATAAAAATGACCAGAGGAACTGACCAACGCCCAACACTCCGGGGAAAAGCAAGATGGACATATAATCAGAGTGTAGTTGGTACCATCGCAATTGGAACTTTAATGGTCGTTATCTTAGGTGAGGGCCAAGTAACTGTTTTGATACTTTAATGGTCGTTATCTTATGTGAGGGCCAAGTAACTGTTTTGATACTTTAATGGTCGTTATCTTATGTGAGGGCCAAGTAACTGTTTTGATACTTTAATGGTCGTTATCTTATGTGAGGGCCAAGTAACTGTTTTGATACTTTAATGGTCGTTATCTTAGGTGAGGGCCAAGTAACTGTTTTGATACTTTAATGGTCGTTATCTTATGTGAGGGCCAAGTAACTGTTTTGATACTTTAATGGTCGTTATCTTAGGTGAGGGCCAAGTAACTGTTTTGATACTTTAATGGTCGTTATCTTATGTGAGGGCCAAGTAACTGTTTTGATACTTTAATGGTCGTTATCTTAGGTGAGGGCCAAGTAACTGTTTTGATACTTTAATGGTCGTTATCTTATGTGAGGGCCAAGTAACTGTTTTGATACTTTAATGGTCGTTATCTTAGGTGAGGGCCAAGTAACTGTTTTGATACTTTAATGGTCGTTATCTTAGGTGAGGGCCAAGTAACTGTTTTGATACTTTAATGGTCGTTATCTTAGGTGAGGGCCAAGTAACTGTTTTGATACTTTAATGGTCGTTATCTTAGGTGAGGGCCAAGTAACTGTTTTGATACTTTAATGGTCGTTATCTTAGGTGAGGGCCAAGTAACTGTTTTGATACTTTAATGGTCGTTATCTTATGTGAGGGCCAAGTAACTGTTTTGATACTTTAATGGTCGTTATCTTATGTGAGGGCCAAGTAACTGTTTTGATACTTTAATGGTCGTTATCTTAGGTGAGGGCCAAATAACTGTTTTGATACTTAAATGGTTGTTATCTTAGGTGAGGGCCAAGTAACTGTTAGACCACACAGGGCAGGCACGTGCATGAAGATGACTGCTTTCTAATAACTGTCCACGTATTTGGAGCGGCCTACATTTTATACGTTTTAGAATATGTAATGACCAGACTTACTACAACCTCCACTACTACCAACACTACAACCATCACCCCTACCACCACTACAACCATCACCACTACCACCTCTACAACCACCACCCCTACCACCACTACAACCATCCCCACTACCACCACTACAACCATCACCCCTACCACCACTACAACCATCACCATTACCACCACTACAACCACCACCCCTACCACCACTACAACCACCACCACTACCACCACTACAACCATCACCACTACAACCACCACCACTACAACCATCACCACTACCACCATCACCACTACAACCACCACCACTACAACCATCACCACTACCACCACTACAACCATCACCATTACCACCACTACAACCACCACCACTACCACCACTACAACCATCACCACTACCACCACTACAACCATCACCACTACAACCACCACCACTACAACCATCACCACTAACACCACTACAACCACTACCCCTACCACCACTACAACCATCACCACTACCACCACTACAACCACCACCACTACCACCACTACAACCACCACCACTATACTAACCATTATAACTTCTTCCAACACCACCACCACCACCGTCACCATCACCTCCACTACCACCTACACCATTATTGCTACGGCAATTACTAACCGTCTCCATGGTCTCAGATTTCTGCATCAATCCCCAGTCCCCCAGAGAATTCTCTCTGCAACAATCCCCAGTCCCCCAGGGAATTCTCTCTGCAACAATCCCCAGTCCCCCAGGAAATGATCTCTTCAACAATCCCCAGTCTCCTAGGGAATGATCTCTTCAACAATCCCCAGTCCCCCAGGGAATGATCTCTGCAACAATCCCCAGTCCCCCAGGGACTGACCTCTGCATCAATCCCCGGTCTCCCAGGGAATGACCTCTGCATCAATCCCCAGTCTTCCAGGGAATGATCTCTGCATCAATTCCCAGTCTTCCAGGGAATGATCTCTGCATCAATCCCCAGTCTTCCAGGGAATGACCTCTTCAACAATCCCCAGTCTCCCAGGGAATGATCTCTTCAACAATCCCCAGTCTTCCAGGGAATGATCTCTGCATCAATCCCCAGTCTTCCAGGAAATGATCTCTTCAACAATCCCCAGTCTCCCAGGGAATGATCTCTTCAACAATCCCCAGTCTTCCAGGGAATGATCTCTTCAACAATCCCCAGTCTTCCAGGGAATGATCTCTGCATCAATCCTCAGTCTTCCAGGGAATGATCTCTGCATCAATCCCCAGTCCCCCAGAGAAAAACCTCTGCATCTATCTGCTGCCAGAATCAAATAACTCTTACATATTTTTTTCTAACGTATACTTCCCTACAACCCCCCCCCCCCCCCCCCTCTCGGGGTCGCTACAAGCTCCCGCAGGACGTCCATCTTCCATCTGCATCTCTTCTCCGTTAGATCTTCCATCTGCATCTCTTCTCCGTTAGATCTTCCACCTTCTTCCCCCATCGTCCATGTCATCCATTTCTTGTTACCCCCCCCCCCTTTTCCACCCCTTGCCTAACATGGCACCATGTGTTGCCAATTATTCTCCTCTCTGGCCAACACACGGCATCCTCTGTCACCAGTTTTAATAAGCCGTTTTCCAACTAGAGTTGACATTTTCACGCAATTTGTATATGTTGTCTGGCCCCTACAAATGTCTGGTATCTCAAATTGATCTGTGCATATCCGGATTATGTGTTTTGCATATGCGTATGTTCTCTTCTTTAATTCCCACCTACATCTATGTATCTTGTTATGGCTTCAATTTGGAAAAAAAACGTGTTTATCTCTTGCTGTATTTGTGTGTGTGTGTGTCAAAGTTGTTTTTTACGTATCTTGTCTGGATTTTAAAAATACAGTTGTAAATGCAAGCAACGTTCGCATGACAACCGTTCCAATGGTTCTATTACAAAAGCATGAAAGAAAATTCAAGGGGTTTGGCAGAATTCAACAAAACATTCATTTTGAATACATTATGCATTTAAAGACGTAATTTTGACCACATCATCCACCGGGTGCCCACTAGTCTATAAAATATAGGTCTAGCCCTATATGCCCAATTCGCCTGAAGAGGTAGAAAAGGTTCCTCTACCTTAGTCTTACTATGAACCATGGGTTGGTACGGAACAGTGGTCGTAGTCATTTCGGTAAACATCCCATTGCTCAGGTAGGCCGCGAGTGCCGTCCAGATAAAAGGATCGTGGCTCCTCACTGAGCTATGCATTTACCGAAATCATTAGGTCCTTATCTGTTATCCTCATTCTTTGGGTCGGTGAATATCAGCGGTACCTACTATGAAATAGCTGTGGGTAAAGCCGTTTCTTGAGAACATACTTTTAAACCGTCTTAGTTGACAGAACTATCATCTAGGAGTCTCAGCGACTGAATTATCATTTAGGGGTCTCAGTGCCAGAACTATCATCTAGGGGTATCAGTGCCAGAGCTATCATCTAGGGGTTTCAGCGCCCCAACTATCATTTAGGGGTTTCTGCGCCAGAACTATCATCTAGGGGTCTCAGTGCCAGAGCTATCATCTAGGGGTCTCAGTGCCAGAACTATCATCTAGGGGTTTCTGCACCAGAACTATCATCTAGGGGTCTCC